TCACCTCGCTGGCAGGGAAGGAGCAGGAGCTTGTGGCAGAGGTTGAGCGGTACCGGCTAGATATAGTCTGACTCACCTCGACACAGCATTGGCTCTGGGACCCAAGTCCTTGAGAGGGGTTGGACACTCTCCTTTGCTGGAGTTGCTCCGGGTGAGAGGCGGAGGGCTGGGGTTGGCTTTTTGTTAGACCCAAGACTCTCTGCCTGTGTGTTGGGGTTTACCCCGGGGGACGAGAGGGTAGCTTCCCTGTGCCTTCGGGTCGGGGAACGGGTCCTGACTGTTGTTTGTGCTTATGGGCCAAATATCAGTTCAGAGTACCCACCCTTTTTGGAGTCCCTGGAACGAGTGCTGGATAGTCATCAATCAGGGGACTCCATTGTCCAGCTGGGGGACTTCAATGCTCACGTGGGCAATGACAGCTTGACCTGGAGGGGTGTGATTGGGAGGAACGGCCCGCCTGATCTGAACTCGAGTGGTGTTTCATTATTGGACTTCTGTGCAAGCTGCAGTTTGGCCATAACGAACACCATGTTCGAACATAAGGATATCCATCGGTACACTTGGTACCAGGGCAGCCTAGGTCACAGGTCGATGATAGACTTTGTAGTCGTATCATCTGACCTGCGGCTGTATGTTTTGGACAACTGAGTGAAGAGAGGAGCGGAGCTGTCAACTGATCACCACCTGTTGGTGGGTTGGATCAGATGGCAGGGGAAGATGCCGCGTAGACCTGGCAGACCCAAACGCATAGTGAGGGTCTGCTGGGAACGCCTGGCAGAAGAACCTGTTAAGACGGTCTTCAACTCCCAACTCCGGCAGAGCTTTGACCGTGTCCCGAGAGCAGTGGGGGACACTGAATCCGAGTGGGACTTGTTCCGCTCTGTGATTGTTGAGGCGGCTGTTGCTAGCTGTGGTCGCAAGGTGGCCGTTGCCAGTCATGGTGGCAACCCATGGTGCAGCAGTGGCAGTTGCCGAGGCAAAATCTCGGGCGTGGGAGGAGTTTGGTGAGGCCATGGAGAAAGACTATCGATTGGCTCCAAAGAGGTTCTGGCAAACTGTCCAGGACCTCAGGAGAGGAAGGCAGCAACTCGCTCACACTGTTTACAGTGGGGATGGGGAGCTGCTGACGTCAATTGGGGATATAGACAGACGGTGGAAGGAATACTTTGAGGAGCTCCTCAATCCCTCCCGCATTCCGAGGAGGAACCAGAGCTGGGAGACCTGGGGATGGACTGTCCAATCTCGGGGGCAGAAGTTGCTGAGGTAGTCAAACAAGTACACAGCGGCGGTGCCCTGGGGGTGGATGAGGTTCGTCCTGGGTATCTCAAGGCTATAGATGTTGTAGGGATGTCATGGTTGACACGTCTCTGCAACACTGCGTGGTCATCGGGGGCAGTTCCTGTGGAGTGGCAGACCGGGGTGGTGGTCCCCATCTTTAAGAAGGGTGACCTGAGGGTGTGTTCCAACTACAGGGGGATCACACTCCTCAGCCTCCCTGGAAAGGTCTACTCCAAGGTACTGGAGAGGAGGGTCCGATCAATAGTTGAATCTCAGATTGCGGAGGAGCAATGTGGTTTTCTTCCTGGCCGTGGAACTGTGGACCAGCTCTACACCCTTGCAAGGGTGATGGAGGGGGCATGGAAGTTTGCCCAACCAATCCACATGTGTTTTGTGGATTTGGAGAAGGCTTATGACCGTGTCCTCAGGGGCACCCTGTGGGGGATGCTCAAGGAGTATGGGGTGGATGGCTTTCTGTTAAGGGCCATTCAGTCCCTTTACCAGAGGAGCGTGAGTTTGGTCCGCATAGCCGGTAGTAAGTTGGACCTGTTCCTGGTGAGGGTTGGACTCCACCAGGGCTGCTCTTTGTCACCGGTTCTGTTCATTACCTTTATGGACAGAATTTCTAGGCGCAGCCGTGGTGTGGAGTGTGTCGAGTTTGGTGGCAGGAGAATCTTGTCTCTGCTTTTTGCGGATGATGTGGTCCTCCTTGCTTCATCCAGCTCTGACCTTCAGCTCTTGCTGGGTAGGTTCGCAGCCTAGTGTGAAGCAGCTGGGATGAGGATCAGCACCTCCAAATCTGAGACCATGGTTCTCGACCGGAAAAGGGTGGCTTGCCAACTCCGGGTCGGGCGAGAGGTCCTACCTCAAGTGGAGGAGTTTAAGTATCTCGGGGTCTTGTTCACGAGTGAGGGTAGGAGGGATCGGGAGATTGACAGGTGGATTGGTTCAGCCTCTGCAGTGATGCAGACGCTGAGCCTATCTGTCGTGGTGAAGAGGGAGCTGAGCCAGAAAGCCAGGCTCTCGATTTACCGGTCGATCTACGTCCCAATCCTTACCTATGGTCATGAGCTTTGGGTAATGACCGACTGAACGAGATTGCGGAAACAAGCGGCCGAAATGAGTTTCCTCCGTAGGGTGGCTGGGCTCAGCCTTAGAGATAGGGCGAGGAGCTCGGACATTTGGGAGGGACTCAGAGTAGAACCGCTGCTCCTCTGGATCGAGAGGAGCCAGTTGAGGTGGTTTGGGCATCTGGTCAGGATGCCTCCTGGACGCCTCCCCGGGGAGGTGTTTCGGGCATGTCCTGCCGGCAGGAGGCCCCTGGGTCGACCCAGGACACATTGGAGAGGTTACATCTCCATTCTGGTCCGGGAACGCCTTGGGGTCCTGCCGGAGGAGCTGGTGGAGAAGGCTGGGGAGAGGACGGTTTGGAGCTCCCTAGTTGGGATGCTGCCCCCGCGACCTGGACCCGGATAAGCGGAGGAAGACGACAACGACGAATAATAATAATGCTTTTAATTTATGAGCCCCTTTCACAAAACACACAAAAAACTTTACAGCAATAAACCAACCAACAAAGAAACCAGGTTTAACAACAGCAAAAAACACATAGAAAACCTTAAAAGTACAAACTAGATAGTAAAATAAGTGCAGCTGGAAAAAGTCACAAACAGTAGGCAGTCAAAAACAGGCCACAAGGTGGCGAGAGTACCCACCTTTGCATATTACAGTAATAAACAATAAAAGAAAAGTACTGCTTTCCCATAGATTCTCCCAAAACTGGCATTTTCCATTTAATTTTTCTCTCACTCATTTAAAGCACAATCAACGTTCAACAGCAACAGAACCAGAATTATGATGAATGATGGTTGAGACAAGATTACTGAGACAATGAATAAAATGATATATTGTAAGCTTAGATCTCCAACCTAAGACAGGAAGTATGCACTTCACTTCACATCAGCACTTGACACATTTCAAGTGGGCATTATCAAAGACCTGAGACACCACTTCTTTCCCAAACACAGAGGTTTTCTCCCTTAATGTAAAGTATAAATGTCAAACATTAATGTGAAATAAATATGTTAAACATTCATAATAATATTATTAATGTGTGAATATACTGACATACAACTCATTTTTGAATTTTACCAAATATACTAATGTGGTGTAAATTAAGATATGGAATCAATCATTATAGGAATGAACATTTGTTAACCCATCATTAATTACTATAGAGCATTCAACATTATTAAAATACTTTAGATTTAAACCATTTTGTAGGTACCACTGAATATGATCGTAAAAACTAGTGACGTTAGAAAGTTTGAGTGTAGGGTTTGGTAAGCTGAGTGCTTTAAGAGCTCAATCAGGGCTGTTGCTAGCTATTTTAGTGCCCTAAGCACGAAGGCTTTGTGGTGCCCCCCCCCCCCCCACACACACACACACATATACAGAAAAAACAACACAATAACACAGTATGTGCAAGCGCTTCACCTTAAATTTTCTTTAATTCTCTTGTATGCACAAACTGCTTATTATTTTCCAAAAAGTAGGATAGATATTTAGTGTGTGTGTGTGTGGGGTGGGGGGGTGGGGGGGGGGGGTCATTTTGCCTAGGCCCCCAAAATGTCTTGAAATGGCCCTGGGTGTGTGACTGAGTTTTGAAGGTGATCTGAATTGTATCAGATGTATAAATATTGCATGTGTGTAACTTATTGTTTTATACAGGTAGAAACGTGTAGTGGAGATAAATCTACATTTTACTTTTCAACACTTTGTTTTGTTTTCTTGTTTTTATTGAACTATTTTCCTGTCCTGTCTGTCTCTCATCTTCCTGCGTCTCCTCTAAACTCTCCAGAAAACCTGCTGCCTGGATTCTTACTTTTTCACCTCATCAGTTACTTCTGAGCAGATCAAAGGGATCTCCTGACCGCAAAGCGGAGTGCGTGATTCGATGCTGTGTCAGTGAGGTGAAATCACCGCAGTGCAGGTGATGAGCTCTGCAGTAGCGGAGCGCCAGGCACAAATAAGACAGAAAGTGGAGAACATGAGCGGACATGAACGATCGTGTGCTAATTATAGTTTTTTTGGTTGCGCCACTTTGAGAATGGACCGTGCGCTGGAAGCAGCTGCCTGGATCGCTGCGCAATAACGCGCTGTGCCGCTCTCTGTGCTCTTTGCTCAGAAGAGTCCATAAATGATGTAATATAGGTAGAAAACTTTTTTTCGGCTCCCCTGGATGTGTAGGAAATACAACTCCCCCATAATTCGATCCCTGCTCCTGGATGAAGAGCCGGACATTTTCATCAATAAGAACCCCCCAGTCCGGACGTCCCGGACAGAGTGAAAAGTGGACACGGTCCATCTCCTTTCCTTTTTGTATTGTTTTCTCTCTGTAAACATGCTGTTAACTTGCTTTGCACATCTTCTAATTGAAATCTGTCTTTATCATATATATATATTATTTTTCATAAGCTTGCGTTTGGTGCCCCTTCCCCGGCGTGGTGCCCTACGCGCTGTGCGTGGTGTGCGTGTGCGGAGCGCCGGCGCTGAGCTCAATAAATATATTACCTCTACTTATGACCAATAAGCTGTGATACTCTATCTAAATATAGAATATCAACTCTGCTTGGTCTTTGTGTATTTAATCAGAAGATTCTAGGATTCTTTGTTTATTCAGGGATGGTACACACTTCATTTTGATTCAGAAAAGAGTCAGGTTTATAAAAGTAAGAATTTATTTTACAAACAATTAAAACATGACAAGTTAACTAAGCATTTACTGTGAGTGGATGGAACTAGATGTGATGCATGAACCTATGTGTCAATGCTATGTTATCAGAACTTCCGTATCTAGGAGAGCTGAGTTCTGGATGTAAAAGAATTTGGTTTGTGTTAAGCTATGAAGCTATGTTTATTATCAAAAACACATCAGACGCTATCTGTCGTGTCTACATACCAACTCGAAGACCCTCGTGATAGATCCAGAATGTCGAAGTCCTCGGACTTCCAGACACCAAGGTCGTAGAAGAAACTGCAGCACTACTAGACCGGTCTTAGAGTTGTCTCCAAGTCACAACAGACGGATGGAACCACACGTCTGGAACTCTTAATTAGTCTGAACATCAGCTCGTTCTGCAGGAACTGTTGCGGTATCAGCTTCGCAGGTGCAAAAAGATTTTGATGGCGTGTCAAAATCTTTGATGGTTAAAGAGGTTTTGCTTCAGATGGCCAGTCTGAAGCTTTCTCAAGAACCGATGAATCACCAGAGTGATCCGGTTTTAATGTTCTCATATTATGATTTGTGTAGCCAACCAGAGGTTGACAAGTTGAGGAATTTTACCAAGACTCTCAGAAACACCCCTTCTTTGATCCGGATGCTCTGATCTGGGGTAAAGGGCTATCTATGTGTCACGCGTTTAACTTTACTTTGTCCATGTGTGAGTGCAAATGGTTATGACCTTGTCATAGCAACATGTTGAAACATATATCAATCAATGTAATCATTACATAACATTCATTTCAAACTTCAATCATTGAGCACAGATTAATGAAAACATTTCATTATACTATTATTATTATTATTATAAGCAGCAATAAACAAACATTTTTAATGATTATCTAGCTTATAAGTTTTAGAAGTTCATATTTAATTTAAGAAATCATTCTTTGATTTAGCACCTTATCCGAGCTGCGAGTGTTCCTTATTCAGAGGCATGAAGAATCCTGTAGGACGATAAGGGAAGCTTTGACCTTGAGGAGAGAACATCATTGTTGACAATTTGTTATCATGTGTTCAGAGCTGCCGAGAGGCTCTGAGCTCCCGCTGATAGGATGAAGGCAGACCGATTTAAAGGGAACACATGCAGTCTCGTATCTCCGTTTTGACCAAATGTTGAAGGGTCAAACTGTTCCTAAAAACTGACGTTACATGAGCCAGAAAAGATAACTTTATTAAAGAGGTTTAGATAAAGAGAACTGTGTCTTCACGGTTGTCTTGTGATATGGAACAGGATAAGTTAAAGAGCAAGTCACCCCCAAATACATTTTTTTCCTGATAAACTATATAAATGCATGTCTAATCGTGCTGCAGACACGTGTAGTCTATAGTTTAGCACTTTAGTGCATTTTAGTTAAAATTTAAATTTTCTGCCTAAAACTTTCAGTGTCATGCCGTTGTCAGGTAAAAACTCTGCACTGAATTAGAATTTAAAACTGCCATTGCTATTGGCTAAGAGGTACCCTAAAACGTTAGCTGGTACCATATGATGTCACAATGTCATTGTGAGCCTGTGTGTGTGTTTGTATTCGTTACCTGCTCCGTCTGCCAGTCAACAGCATTTGTTGCATTTTTCAAACAAGAAGTGAGAGTGGAGTAATACTCTGGTAGGCGGTGACTTGCTCTTTAAGGATACTACTGTTCAAGTTCATAGATACTCATATCGACAGCTCCAGTGTCAGATTGGCATGACCTGTAAGAAAGACGTTAACCTTTGGCCATTTGATGAAATGCATCCTTTGAGCTACGCTACAAAAGGCTTTCATTTCTGATTGTGTCAGTTTGATTCCATTAAAGATTTCAGGTAGACATGTACCATCAGTGCCATATGTGTAAAAAAACTGTGCACCTGGGAATCATGTACAGTACATTTTCTGCATTAAGTTACAGCCTGACTCCAAAATGAAACAAATTCAGTTTGTACCTCAAAATTCTACACACATCATCCAAAATCACCTGTATACGTACAGTATTCACAGTCTTTAGTCAATACCTTGCTGATGCAACTTTGGCAGTGATTACACTCTCAAGTATTTTTGGATATGATGTCAGAAACGTGGCACACTTGTTTTCAGGCAGTTTGGCGCATTTGTCTTTGCAGCATCTCTCAACGTCATCAGGTTGGTTGAAAATTGGTGCTGCCATTTTAAGATTTCTCCAAAGATGTTCATTCCGATTCAAGTCTTGGCTCTGGCTGGGACACTCAGAGTTGTCCTGAAGACACTCCTTTGGTATCTTAACTGTGCGCTTTGGGGTCGTTGCCCTGCTGAAACATAAATGATCACCCCAGTCTAAGGTCGAGAGCGCTATGGAGCTGGTTTTTATCCAGGATGTTTCTGTACAGTGCTGCATTAAATTTTCATTCCATCCTAACTAGAGTCTCCCAGTTCCTGCTGCCACCACCAGCATGATGGTGCCACCACCATGCTTCACTGTAGCAATGGTATTGGTTGTTCTTCTGGAAAGTTCTACTCTCTGGATAGAGAAGTACTGGAGCTCATACAGAGTGACCATCGCGTTCTTGGTCACCTCCCTGACTAAGGCCCTCCTCCCTGATTGCTCAGTTTGGATGGCCGGCCAGCTCTAAGAAGAGTCCTGGTGGTTTCAGACTTCTTCCACTTACAGAAGATGGCAGCCATTGTGCTCACTGGGACCTTCAAAACAGCAGAAATGTTTCTGTAACCTTCCCTAGATTATTGGTTTGAGACAATTTCTTTAACTTCCTGCTTGGTCTGTGCTCTAACATGCACTGTCAGCTGTGGGACCTTACACAGACAGGTGCACCTTTCCAGATTATGTCCACCCAACTGAATTAACCACAGGTGGACTCCAAAGAAAGCTGCAGAAACATCTAAAGGAAGATCAGTGGAAACAGGAAGTAATAGCTTAATTTTGAGCTTCATAGCAAAGGATGTGAATACTTATCTAGAGGTGATTTCAGACTTTATACATTTTTAATGAATTTGCAAAAAATAAAATAAACATTTTTCATATTGTCATTATGGGGTATTGTGTGTAGAATTTAAAGGGGAAAATTCACCTGCTTTGGATAAAAGTAACACAACGTGTGGGAAAAGTGATGTGCTAATACTAGATGCATTGTAATTATTTGTAAGTATTGATGACTGACTTCATCCTGAAGCTCCAGAAGGTTCTTTTATCAGGTGAGACTGGTTATCATCTGAATGACAGTCCCCCAGGTGCAGCTTTAGCACACCGCGGCTGTGCATCTGCAGCAAATTGCTGAACTCTGATGGCATGGAGTGAAACGCCATATTGGACTTTTTGTCATTATAATAATGATTGGTCAGGTCACGGAAGGTGAATGGATGAAGACTAAAGGGCCAGAATCCATACACGTGCACATCCGTACAGAGTTCCAGTGCCAGACTGATCATCATCATGCCAGTGCTGAGTCGAGTCGACTTCAAACCCTGAGAGCGCCAGTAGATGGACAGATTCTGGAGGTACTCTGGATTGAAGAAGACTGTTTGAATGGGACTTTCAAAGTCCTCTAAGGTGTAAAAAGCCCGAAGAGACACAGCAGTGCTCATGCTGAAGGAGAAGGCAGGAAGAAGCAGCATGGAGTCACCGTAGTGGCACATATTCTCCACAAACACACGGCGACGTCCCATTAGGGAGCCATACCTACAAATATAAAACTAATTTAATTAAACACATCTACAGAAATGTTAGTCAAGGTGTCATAGACCAATTTCTCTCCTCACTTGTCTATGAGGATGCTTGGGTTTGCGGTCACGAGGTGTGTCTTGATGCCAACATGTTTCTCGTATCCGTTAGACAAAGGAGGAAGGTTACACCTGGACAGGTGACACAAACACAGATTTGTTTTGTGGAATTCCTTTAAAAGATTAGTTTGCTCATCTGCACTGAAGAAATTTCTCACCTGATAACAAATTCAGCTGAATCAATCGTTTCCCCACAGCTGCTGTTAGCCAGGATCCCACCATTTCCAACAACAGCACAAGTGTGCAGTGTTTTATTAGAGAAAGGATGTCCCTGGAGTCAATGAAAACAAACCAATAAAAACTATTCAAGATTTTGAAACACAACACAGTTTATCTCCTCTGCTTTTGTCACTTTGTGTTGACTAGCATAAGAGAAGGGAAGCAACCTTCTCAGTGGCCTACTGGTATGAGCATCTGCCTTGAGACTGTGAGATCATGGGTTCAAATCCACGGTCGGGTCATACCAGAGACTTTAAAAATGGACCCAATGCCTCCCTGCTTGACACTCAGCATTAAGTGGTCTGATTGTGGGGTTAAACCACCAAATAGTTCCCAAGCGCAGACATGTCTGCATCCCACTGCTTCTCACAGGAATGGGTTAAATGCAGAAATGTAATTTCACCAGTCAGTGCGTTTACATGCAGCCAGTAACCCTTTTAAAACCCGAATATTCACAATAACCCGGTTCCGCAGGCCCATGTAAACACCGCCAGAAACCCGGATATGCTCATAACCGGGTTTTTAAAAACCCGGTAACTACACCTGGGGTAACCCTTTTCTAACCCGAATGTTTGGTCATGTAAACGCTTATCGGGATATTCCCATCAAAGCGTGTGTTCTGTGCATGCTCTGTTCGCAAGGAATCTTGGTCTTTTGAGTAGCGAGATGTCTTGTATGCGCCAGAACACCGGAAGTAAACACGTTGGGAGCAACATGGTGAGTCGCGGCACAGCACCACACTTTTGGAGTGATGAGGAAACTAAAGCGCAAACAAACGCGGTCGCTATCTCTTCCGAACTGGGAAACATGTTGTTGTTTTCACGGATACCGGAACAAGAAGAACCGGAAATGACGCATATTGCGTCTTTGACGTAGTCCACACGTCCTGACGCTACCCCAGCGTCCGCATTTACATCGGGTTATGCAAGTTAGAGGTAACTCTTTCTATTTATGCTTGTAAACGGGTTATTCTGATCAACTCAGAAACCCGAATACCGACCTTAACCCGATCATAACCCGGATATTGGCTGCATGTAAACGTAGTCACAGTGTGGTGCCTAATGGACAAATGTGGGATTTTCTGGGAAAGAGAATTTAAAACAAAACCTTGAGGAATCACCAGATATGTTTTCTCTATAATTAAATACAGTGTAGGAACAAGATTACTACACTGCACTCTTAAAATGGATAACATGCTTTTATTTCCATGACACTGCCATGTCAACAACAAAAAAATCCACCTACGTGTTTTGACTCACAAGCCTCCTCAAGGAGGGTGTTTTTGTGGTCAGCCTCAGTGGTGGAACCATTGGCTCTTCCTGGTTCTGTAAATGCTGCGAATCATAACATCCCAAGACTGGAACTGGTCGCACGGCAGTTATTCTACAAATTTCGGTGCCTTGAGGTCCACCGACTTCCTGACATTCCGGATCTGACGGGGGTCTCCAATCAGGGTTGGTAGACACAACACACTTTACGAAGTGTTAATTCAGACTAGGGCTGTAGCGATGCATCAATGACGTCGACAGCTGGATTCTAAAAATTTGTCGTCGTCAGATCCGGTAGTCAACGCACCACGCCCACTTGTTGCATCCCCAGGAGTTTGTAAATAGAGGTGGAATCTGCCTATTTTTCCTCTAGTTCGCCCTCTTCTCTACCTTCACTAACATCTCCGCCAAATACCGAAGACCCGAAACAATGTCCGTCTGCTACTAGATTCCTTTCCTGTTTTGCCCGCCTTCGTCAACTGGCAACAGACAACTTTCGGGGTCAAATGCGCTGCTTCGTTTCTACCGCAGATGTAGAAAATCACCGGGAGCGTTTCTCGCTTCATAAAGGAGCTTCTTTCAGACATTAGGAGAGCTGCTTTGGTGGTAGCAGTCTCTCCTCCGTGCTGGTCTGTTTGCTGCTGGGTATTTTTGGTTTATTTAAACTTAGAAACTTGAACTCAATGTTGATAAAGCTACTGTTAGCATTTTCGCTAACAGCTTCTTGCGTTTGGATAAGCTGTTACGTTTTGGTTTAGAGTTGATCTTTTTTGTGGTGCAGATCTCCCTTTTATTTCATTTAGAGTATTGTGGGTTTTCGGTTTAGTTTAAAATATCACCTTGAGTTTGGTTTATCCACCCAGTTTAGAGTTTGGACCTTTGGAGATCCATATTTTGGTCCAGAATCCAGTAATCTTTGCCCAGTGGGACATCCCTACTTATTTGTACTTTTGTTTCAATTCCCCACAGGCAGAATTAGTTTTATTATTCCCAACCTGCGGATGGAAAGATTTATGTTTTTTGTAGTTTTAAATAAACCTGATCATCATTTTAACTTTTAAATCCCATGTTATTGTCCCTTCCTTTTTGCACATGAGCCAAACTCCCCAGGAAGAGTCGTAACACCACTCGCCTCACGCACACAAGTGACCAAAACAAAGCAGCATGGAGACACTGTCTCCAACCACCTCTCAGGCAGCAGCCTGCACTTCCAAGTTCTACACATCACCAGAACATAACTAACCAACACAATAAAAGCAGTGTTATACAAAAATGGAAGGTCTGTAGTGTTTATTCTCCCACAGAAACAATTTATCACTTTTTTGAGGAATTTATTTGAGATTTTCTGGTTTTTATTAATTGTGCAATAAAAAAATAATCGCTAGATTAGTCATCTAAATAGTCATTAGAATAGTCGACTATTCGATAAAATAATCGTTTTTAAAATAATCATTTACCCCCAGCCCTAATTCAGACAGAGTCAAGTATTTAATTAAAAATAAACTTCATTTTCTAGACTAATTCTATTACATGACAAGCTATGAATAACAATATGTCAGCCTAGTAAATAGATAACAGCCTAATAAAAAAGGCTGGTTCTGTTCTGGGGACGACTGTGGAACCGCTGGAGGAGATGATACAAAGAAGGATTCTCCAGAGAATCAAGAAAATTATGGACAACCCTGAGCATTCTCTTCACAAGACTGTCCGACAACGGAAGAGTGTCTTCAGTCAGAGGCTTCTTCAGTTTCGCTGCAACACTGACCGCTACTGGAGATCCTTCCTGCCAACAGCCATTGTAATATACAACTCTTTGATGACTTGATTATTATTATTATTCTGAGCTACTACAGCAATCAATTGCCCTCTGGGATTAATAAAGTATTTTTGAAGTGAATTGAATTGAATTGAATGTGATGGAATGGTGATGTGTGAAGTAGATATATATCAGAACCTTTGTATCTGGAAGAAACTGAGAGTTCTGGGTGTAAAAGAATTTGGTCTGCTATAAATAAGAGTTGATGATTTATAGAATGGCATCAGACACCAGTATGCGGTCTACGATGCCCTTGTATGAGATGCTCCCAGCGGTCCGGAGGTTTGCGGTCAGAGTGGTGAGGTCACCGGACGTCGAGACCACGATCCTCAGAGATTGGTAGCTTCCTCTGAGTTCAACTTCCCCGGCCATGAGATACAACCCAGCTCTGCAGATTTGGTGCCCAAGATGGACGTCTGTGAGTTGCCGTAACTCTGGAAGGACCTGTTGTGTCTGTAATCACTTGCAGCTTCGTGGCAAGGTTTGGATTTAAGGTCAAAGAGATGTTGTTTCAAAAAGGCTTCTTTCTCGATTTGGCCGAATCGAGGTGTCAGCTGGAAACTGAGTTAATCGGGAAGTAAATTCGGTTTTATTACCACCATGTTATGATTCTGGCGAATCAGAATCTGACATGTTTGTTGACGTTTACCAAACATTTCTCAGAACCACACCTTAATCAGATACAGGAATGTTCTAGTTCTGTGGATAAAGAATCTTTATGTGCTGTGACGTTGACTTTAACCTTGTGTCATTGAGTATGGTTGATTAACTTGTTAAATCAAACAGTAATGATCAAAATATGCAACATTATTGTCAGAACAATATTCATTTCATCTTCAGTGAATTAGGCACAGGTTATTCAAACATATAACTTCTGGTTCATTCAACTATATGATTATTTAATTTTTTAGATTGTATTGGAGACCAGGGGTTCCATTCATTATGATTTATGTTCTGTTATTTCTGATTGAGTTATAGACAAAAGGTTTGTTATTGAAGTGATTTATTTTGTGTTGGACATTTGTAACAGGTTCTTTAGAAGCAGAGGAACTGGCCACCCTTCCTGTGTAAAGAGGAAATGTTGGTTAAATGTTAATCTGTGTTTAAGTTAATCTCCAAGGTTTCACTCACCTTTCTGGTAGTGTCTCCTCAGCAGGGCGGGGAAGAAAATGGAAGTTTGTGTCCCAGGTGCTGCTTTTAAGCTGCTGGACCATACCACTTAAATAAGGAGGTGTGATTCCTGGACGAGTTATGTGAAACCTAGTTTCTTTTGTTTGAGTGAACTTGGATTTATTTAGTTAATATAATTTGTATTTATGTAAATAATGTTTGGTATCATTTATTATTTGGTGGTTGGGTTTGGTAAATATTATTTAGTTATTATTTCTTTGATTACCCCTTTTCTTGGTTTCTTCCAATCATTCACTTGGTTATAAAAGGCAGTGAGTGTTAGTTGTTGGTGTTGGTGACAAGATATGCTGTAATAAAGCCACCACAACCTGATTTATTTGTTTGCCTCTCCTTCGAACCACGTGCCGCCGCCGGTCAAAACTGACAAAGTTGTAAAAGTTCACACATTCAGAGTGGAATCCAGCAGTCTGAGATAAAAGGAAAGCTTGAAGACCTTGGGAGTTATCTTGTGTAACAGCGCTGCAGAGTCTGGACTTTAGAAGACAGGAGAGAAAATCCACCCAGATAGTGGATTTGTTCTGCAGATGATGTTGGTCAAATATATTGGTGAAAACTGACCATTTCTGGATACTACATATCCCCCCTTTTCAAGGACACGGGTCCTGGCAGAAACCACGAGTCATTGAACGATCCCAGAAGCCCTGAGGACTCAGCAGAGGACGAAAAGTTAGTTCCCAGGCACGGAAGCATCAGGACTGAGGAAAGCAAACCCCCACACAGAAGAATAGTCAAAAAATATCCCAATCAGGAAATAGTAATCCACTTAGTGATATCCAC